CAAAATTTTTGCCATTATTCAAACGAGCGATTTTTTTTGAATATCGGTTGGCTCTCGAAACGAATTGAAACGTTGTTGAACTTTGAGTGTTCGCTTTTTGTTCCACTTTTTAATATACTTCATAATGTCAAGTTTGCGGAATCTCCATGACGTCCCATCTAGAACAAGATTTTATCGCAAATCTTCTTTGGACCTTCTTACCGATCAAATAAAACTATATTATCCGAAAGTGGAAAAGATGGAGACATAATATGCACTAGTGACTGAATTGATGAAATTTAGTGACAGACTGCAAAACGTTAGAGTTTTGAGTTTTTCACACCTGATTGCTTGTGGCAAAATGTTGATAAGAGATGCTGTCAAAGTATTAGTTAGATATGAAACATGAATGGATTGAATTTCTTGACAACAGTTTTCGAAGAGTTTAAATAAATTGTATAGATTTTTCATGGTTTTCATGTTTTAAAATTGTACAGATTGTTCATGATTTTCATGTCTATTTCTGAGTGTTTTGAATGTATGCATGAAATCTGCAGCTTCTGTTGCGTTCTTGCAGTTGCACTTATTTATTGAACAATCAATCCATCTGTATTTGAACAATTTGAAGGGATGCATTCAATAGTGGAGTACGTCGGATCCACCAAGGGTGGTCACTGTGGTTATTGTAAGAGTGAGGATTCGTCGAAATCCGCTGTCGGTATGTTATTTGGCTCACCTGTTTTCTTCTTGTTCAGTTTCTCAGAATCCGAACAGATTCNTAGCAATATAATTAGGTGGTGCAATGATTACAGGTTTATCAGGCTATGCTTTGTCGTGCGAACACTTTAATCAGCTGTTAGATAGAGGCTGGAGCCGGTAATGAATGGGTCATGCTACTGCTGATGTTTATCACTTTTCACTGCAACGGAGCAATCATGATTTGATCATTGGCCATTATCAATCTCCTTTTCGTCATCTGATTTATTTCATCAATTGATGATGATACATCGTTTTTGCACTATTACCTCAGATATATTTGCTTCTTGCTTATCATATCTATTTTTCCAACTGCAATAGAGTTGTTTTTTTTTGAAGAATCCTAAATTTATCTCGATCTGAGAAGGTTATGAGAAATAATTCAAGTAAACCTGGGAATTTGTTATTTCGAACGGTTTGATTTCGGTTTCATCTCTAAAATTTCATGATTGACTGACGAGTCGCTTAAAGATGCGAAAAAAACGTTAAGGGAAATGATGGCCGATGTTTTTCATCTCATTATTGTTTCGTTTTGCTTGTGATTTTTTCGTGACTATTGCGCGTAATTGAATTAGAAGGGAAGAATTTGGACAGCTGATTAAGTTTGGAGTTGAAAAAATAGTTTTAGAAATAGAATAGTCGCATTTAGTTGATGGTAAGGTAGGCCTTATAATTTGGAGGAGCCATTTTTTTCGTTATTCCCACCTCTCTGTAATATGTTTGCCAGTTCTGATATCTTACGGAAGACGCATCAAAATTTCAGGTATGATGGCTTATTCTCTGAGTGTACAACACTATAACGCTCTCTTAGATAGAGGCTTACGAAGGTAATTTGAACGAGTGCTCGTTTCGTTTGGTAACACACTTCGAATATTTCAGGTCTGGTCGTTACTTATACAAGCCGGACATCATGGAAACTTGCTGTCCGCAGTATACGATTCGGTATATCTCTTTCTCTTTTATTGTTCCATTGTCATCTCCTAAGCATCCGCATATTTCCATCAAAATCTTTGCTGTTCATCTCACTCTCCTTCATAATTTGACTGGTGTAAACAAGAAATTCACCGTAGTTTTGTTTCGCGTCAAGATATTTCTTCCAAAAAGAATCGAATCCTTTGTCCGCGAATGGTTTAGAACATTAAACAGATCAATATTGCAACGGATTATCCCAACGTCTATTCATTATTTGAAAGTTTCTCATGAAACTCGTTCAATTTCAGCGTTTTCTCCGTTTATTTTCTTTACGTTTGATTGAGTTTGAATTTTGTCGTGCGTATAGGTTGCGATGAAACAAAGTTGTTTTCTCTTCGTGAACTGTATTTGCCATCTGAACTCATTTTATTGTGTTGAACAATGGAGAATTTAGGTCACATTCTTTCTGAATTTACTGCTATCATATTATAAGTGTATGCGAATGTCCGGTGATGGTGCTATGATTTCTGGGAAATCATGTTATCATCGTATGGAATAATGACGTAAAGCATGTCCATATTATTGTCATTGTTTGTCTATAAAATCAAAGTAATTGCATTTCTGTGATAGCGCTTGTGATGCTGATTGAGTTTCTTAAAATGAAGAATTCATTGATTTTTCAATGGTACATAATGATAACCGGTGCGATAATGATGTCTTCCCATTTCTAGTACTTCCTTCATTTAAGTAATCTTCCATATTTTTAGCCTGGATACAAATAAGTTTGTTTTGTCACGCACACAAAAACGTGTTCTACGACGCATGAACGATTTTCTGATGTATGATTATCGACCAAAGAAAGCAATTCGTGGTTGTGACACCAGAAAGAAAAGCACTGAGCCAAGTGAGCACCAGTCGGAGAAGATCGCTCCACGGTTGGATGATATACCCAAACGGGATGATGGTAGATCCAAGAAGATGAATAAAAACGAAGATATCAAGTTTGTTGACGAGGAAAATGGTGATAGTAATTGTGTTGTTGGAAAAGGGGTTGACAAGCGAGATCGTGGAAAGAAGAAGAAAACAATCCGACGAGAACGAGCTTTTGCGCGAATGCGATCGAAAGGAATCAACATTGAAGAAGTATGTGAACTGTTCCGTTTATGTTTTGTTTTCCTGCTCTAATTTTTTGCCATTTCACTTTCTCGAATAATTTCCAGTCCTGTTGGGGACTGTTTGATTTAGAGTCTTCAAAGATTCAGACTGTTTAGAGTTTCTCGTTTTCTCCTCAAGTTACCGTTCATCTCGAATGCTTAAATGAAACTGTTTTGCGATGCGCAAGTTCATTGTAATCGAACATCATGCAATGGATATTTGAATGTGTTTGTCTCTTCCAACAAATAGCTACATCGGTCATGAATACAAAGCGGCCATGCGATGATTTAAACCTTTAGTTCAGTTCTTCGTGAATTTGGAAGAGGAATCTACTGGTTGAGTTCTGAATCCGAAATGTGTGAGGAGTTTCGGACGAAACACCGCAAGTTGCTCTTTTTCGTTCATCTAGGCAGTTGAATAAGGTGTTATCTGATTGAGGTAATGAAGAGGAGAGCTGCAAAAGAAGAAGCACGACGTCGTACACTTGAATCATTTATATTGCCTTATGATGCCAGCAAATTTGAACATCACTTGCAGGTGAGTAGGGGTCCGTTTCAGCTGTCAACATGATTTTGATGGATTAAAAACATCAAAAACATTTTTAAAAATATTAAAAACATCAAAGTTGTTCAGTGAGCAATGATCTCAAATAGTTTGGATGCCTGCGTCTTGAATCGTATCCCTATTTTTGCAAGGGAAAAGATCTTTAATCAAACCTCAAATTGATTATCTGGAGACTGATCATGATTTCTTGATTACGTGCGTGCGTGAAACGATTTTATGTACTGAATCTGTTGTGTTCAATTCAAGGTTCGTCTTGTGAAAGTTGGTTCGAATGAATTCAATGAAATAGCAGATGAAAGTTTTGAAGTTTTTCTGAAATATCAAACGATCATTCATAATGACACGGACCGCAGCAGACGAAGCTACGAGAATTTCTTGGTTAATTCGCCGTTATTCGACAGCGACCAGTCGGAAGAAAACCGAAATAAAGTACTCTTCGACCATTTCAATCCATTCCATCACAGTATTTGTTCGCTAAATGGGAATCCTCGTTCTTTCGTTGCATTCTCTGTTGAATTTCTGTTTCCAAAATCACCTTTAATTTCTCTACAAAGGTGAAAAAATTGCAAAAGAATCTTTTTTTTTGAGAGAGAATGCGGAAGTTACTCCGAATTGTTCCCTTGATGCACAATCTCGTTAATTTCAGTCCGTTCAACTAGGATCTTATCATCAGCTTTACATACTTGATGGTCGTATAATAGCCGTGGGTGTCCTGGACATT